TACATCACCCAGATGTACCAAGGGATTCTTTTTTTCTTTTTTGAGGACTTATTGAAAGAAATTTGATTTATGTAAGACTTCTTCTCCCACCTCCACTGCCAGTTGTTGTCAATTTTTCAATTTGCTTTATGCTTTTCTGATAACATTTACACTGCTTGGGGAAAAATAGCTAAACCCATGGAGAAATAACAAAAATCTACCACTGTGTATAATTTTAAGGATATCACTTGTTTTTAGTTGTGTCGTTAGCAGCCTTTTATCTTATTGAACATGATACACTGAATGTTGTGCCTTTGGAATTACATGTGACCGGGAGCTGGTGGTCGTCCCACGCCCACCCCACTGTGGCTGTGGATCAGAAGAGCTGTTGAGCTCGTATTCAAAGCACGCAGCCTTGCATTTCGTGACAAAAGCTAGCATCCTTCCCAAGTGGCAAGACTAAAACTTTAGCTCTAGAATTTTATGACACGTCAAATCCTAATGATGATATGATATAATAATATAGCATAGCATATATACTAGAAGCATGCCCCGTTTCATTGCACTTTGCAGATATAGCTTTTTTTTTTTTTGCAAATTGAAGGTTCGTGGTAGCCTTGCCTCAAACAAGTTATCGGTGCCATTTTCCAACGTTTGCCCACTTCATGTCTCTTTGTCACATTTTGGCGATTCTTGGACTATTTCAAACCCGCCACCAGCAAAAAAGATTATGACTTGCTGAAGGCTGAGATGATGGTTGGCATTTTTTATCAATAAAGTATTTTAAAATTACAGTATGTACATTTTTTAAGACGTAATGCTATTATTACACACTTATTAGACCACAGGACAGTGTAAACATAACTTTTATAGGCACTGGGGAATCAAAAAATTCACGTGACTCACTTTGTTGTGATATTTGCTTCATTGTGGAGGTCTGGAGCCAAACCCGCAACATCTCTGAGGTCTGCCTGTATAACAGAATCATGTGAGCGTTTCCTAACCTGTTTTCACAATTGGTGTATGGAACTCCTGCTTGTACGCGTCCAGCTTTGCCACGACAGACTAGGGGGATCTGCTTTTAGTCCCACAGCTACAAGGAAAGATGGAGAGTTAGAGAGGACATAGAAAAGGAAATGCAGTGAAGAATGACAGAAGATATTGGTTTTCACCCCCTTTCCCCCCCATCATCAAGAGATGAAACCAGAATGCTGATCCACGTGAAGATTGTTTTTCTGGTTTCATGCTACTAAAAATGTACATTTATGAGATGGCTCAGCAGGGTTAGGGATGTAACTAGTCATTGTGGAGTAGTGTCTCTGAATTTGCTTCTGTGTAAGTGATATCGGTTTCTTGTGCTTTTATCTTGGTTAGTACTTATGTGGCAAAATTCATGTTTGCTCTGGGATCACTTGTAGTCCATTTGCTGGGTTGGTGGCAGACAGAGCACGATCATAATTTGACATTGAGCTCTAGGCCCAACTAAGGGAGTAGTACTCTGTCCCTTTTTATATATAACTTGTACCTGCCATGGATATGTCAGCCAGAATCTTGAAATGTTAAATCGTAATATTACTTAAGGAAAAACATAACTAAAGATACTATTACTTAAGGATACGTTACTTAGGATACTAACTTTGAATCAATTGCTCATTGTCGTACAGTTTCATGTGCAAGAATAAATATTAGGTTATTCAAATATCTTTGTGACTACAAGTAAGGAGAAATTGGAACACTATTATTTCCTCATTTTTACCATTAGGGCTGTGCTGCATGTGGAGTTGAGTCATAGAAAGCGTAGAAGGCTTCTAGTCTAGCATGGGAGAAATGCAATCCCAGCATAAACAGAGGATAGTAAGAGTTTTCATTGCAATAAGTTCGAAAGACGGTAGAAGTCAGAGGAGGATGGAATTGTGATAGGAGCTGGAACTTGAGATGCACAGACAGAAAAGAGAGGGAAGAGTATTTCTAAAGGAATGCTTAAAGGAATGCCTCAAGAATATGCTGGCTCCCATGTTCAAGTATGGTTCTTCATGGCTCTAAGTCGGTTCACAGAACCACAGAAAGATTAGCCTGGTATATAGTGATAAGTAATAGGGAAGTTCTTTTTGAGAAGGACTTTTCATTGACTGAGACTAGAGTCAAGTCCCAAGGGGAGCCAGGCTTCTCAAAGAGCTGTCGCAGGTACCCACCAAGATGAGCAGGGCCCTCCTTTGGGCTCTGACACTGATTGTGTGGCCTGGAGCACATCTCTTAACTGCCCTAAGACTCTGCTATCTTTATTAGGAAATGAGGTTTGGGCCAGTTAGTCTTTAAATGCCTTCCATCTTTGAATTTCTTAAACTCTTTGTCTTTTGAGCAAACATAAAAATACAGATCTCATCCTTATTAGTGGCATTATTTTGAAAACAGGATAGAAACACAGAAATCGTGTTCTTTGTTGAAAAGTAACTTTTACAGACTTTTTAGAGTTTACTGTTTGTACGTAATGTTGGAAGTGTGATAAAAGGAAGAACCCATTTGTATAGATGTTCAGTTATTTTTTTCAGTTATTTTTTGTGGAACTTGCCAAAATGAGAGCTGCATTATCCCTTTTCTGGAGCATTGTTTGGATTTCTTTTTTATTGCAATGAGATGGAAATTTTAGGATAAGAGACCAATCAAAGAGTTTTAGACGCTCCTAATTTCTTATCAAACACAATACCTAAATTATATCCCTGTATGACTTGCCCTGCTTCTAGCCTTCTTACGTGAAGGGGAGACTCCAATCGTTTGAAAAATCCTGAACCTCAGAGTTGGTATAATTGGGCCTCAGTGCCTGGGGAGGGAACCATAGGGTCGTGATGGCCTCAGCTTACAGCCGAGGCACCGTGAGGAGTCCTGGGTGAGTGCTAGCTAAACAGAGACTGTATGCTCTGACAGAAATTGTGGGTCCAGGGAGAACTGAATTACAACTTACTTTTACCTTATAACTTTCATCTTTAGGGGATCGTTTCCTCCCTAGTTTATATGTAGAAAAATACACATTCAAAACAGCAAACTGAAAAAACAAATCAAAACAAAACAGCAAACTGGATAGCAAAATTCCTAAAAAATGGAGCTTTACTAAAACAAAACTGGGATTTTGCCAGTATTACTCTTCGCGTTATCTTTCGGGAGCGGGTGCAGCCTCTTTAGCATACCTTGCAGAAGAAAGAAGTTCCAAATCCATTCCTCAGTGTTCCATTGAGAAGGAAAAATAATCACATGACTATCCCAGAGGCTTCAGACCTACTTGGAGATTTTCCTGAAGATGTCCTATAACCTATATTTTATTTATATTTTAAACATTTCTTTGATAGTATCACAGCAAGAAATAATTTATCTTTCCTGGAAATACTACTGTAATATTTCTGATTACGATGATTTTCTGTTTTTAAAATATTTAAAATTTCATTATGCTAGTAATACATGCTTACTGAAAGTTTAAAAAACATAAATATGTATTATTATTATTTTTTTTTATGAAAGCAGGCTGTATCTCTTCCCCCCTCTTACCCGCCCCCATCTTGATTAATTCAATCCAAAAGCTATCGGGTAGGGTTGCGTGAGGTAGGAGTCCGCATGACATAAAACCTAGAAGCCATAAGAGAATAAGTAGGTTGATAATTTAGCTACATAAAAAACTTCTGCATGAAGAAAAATAAGCTACGACATGAACTGGAAAAACTATTTACAACTCTTAGGTTCAAAGGACCAATTTTCCTTGTATGTAAAGAGTATATACAAATCAACTAGAAAAAGAACAGCAATCCAGCAGGAGATCTGCAAAGGAAAGAACACGCTGTTCATAGAAAAGGCTCTTAAGCATATGAAAAAATGCCTCTTCTCACTCATAAGAGGAACGCAATAGACTGAGATATTACTTTTTACCTGTTAGTTGGACGAAGATCAGTCAGAGTTGAAGCATCATTTGAAGAGCCCCTGAGGAAGCAAGCACTTTCAAAACTTGCTGGGTCAGATCATAAATTAACACAACTTCTGTGGAGCACACTTTGGGGATATCTGGCAAATTTACTAATACACATTCCCTTTGACCCAACAGTTTCACTTCTAGAAACTTAGCTTGCTGACACACTCCCACATAAACTGACAAATGTATAAAGTTATTCATTGTAGCATAGTTTGTAGCAGCAAAAGAGTGTAAGCAACACAAATGTCCATCAGTAGGGCGCTGGTTGACTAAATTATGGTGTGTCTATACAATGGAATGCTATGCAGCCATTTAAAAAATTAAGAAACTTCATGTAGAATGAAGTCTGAGGTATATGCTAAGAGAAGACAGTAAAATACAGAAGTATGCATATAGTATGCTACCATTTGTGTCAGAAAAAGGGGAAAAGGGAAAAAAAAAAGGGGGGGGGAAAGGGGTAGTTAAATGTATTTGCCCATGTGAGTTGTGTCTCTGGAAATGATGTACGAGAACCAGTCACACCGCTGTCTCCGGAGTGAACAAAAGGAGGGCCGGAATACAGGAATATCAGAGAGAAGACCTTTTTAGATCTGTGAATTTTTAACCATGGGAATTTACCTACATAGTGAATGCATTTTCAATTAAAAAGAGAGAACACCTTTCAGGTTACATAAAAAGATGTGTCCAAATTATCATACTTTACAGGTCGTAATTGTCAGATAATGTTTTCTTTGCTGTCTAGCCGCAGATACCCTATCTGTCTCAAATAGGGTTATTTACTAAATTTCCTAGTACTGAATTATTCCTAGAATAATCCCTATGGGAGGTTCTTTTAATGTCTTGCTATCTGTTTTATATTTTTTAATTTCAATTAATATTCAAAACTGAGATCTGCTTGTAGTGGATATTTTGTTTATTGGTCATCTTTGACATGTTTTGATAAGGAATATTACTGAGACTATAAAAGAATTGGGAAGATTTCTTTTCCCTTTTTTCTTCTCCCTTGCTTCTCAAGGTGGACATGCTGAGTTGAACTTTTCTCGATATTTTTCCATGGAAATAATTGTAGTTTTATTCACAGGAAGAAGAAGGAAATACATGCAAAACACAAAAAACTTCCTGGCTTCAGGATTGTGTTTTATCCTTATCTCCAACCAATGATCTTATGGTTATAACTCGGGAGCAAAAAGCTGTATTTCTAGTGCGTAAGTACTCTGTTATTTTCATTTATTTTAATGCATAGAATAGAAAATGGATTAGGCAGAAAGAAAAAGTTTTACTTCTCTCGTATGCATTATATGGTGGCATTCCATAGTTTGATACGTTATATAACACTTTTTATTCTCTTTCTTTTTATTTCTCTCTCTCTCTTTTCCCCTTTCTTTTCTGTTTCTTTCCTCTCTTTTTCTTTCTTGGCTGCAGATACTGTAGCTGTCTCTCTATGGCATTTCAGAGGCAGTACTGGGCATTGCCCAGCTCTTGCAAGGGGCAGTCAGAGCTAAAAAGGGCACTGACTGCTTCTTAGTAATAATGTGAGTCAAGTGACTTTCAACTCTAATTTGAAAACTCGCAGTGCTGTAGTTTCCTGTTTGGGGCATAAGTTTTCAGCTTATAATTTTTGTTGAAGATTAAATTTAAAGTTTGGGTATATATAGAATGTGGAAAACCTCACTGATCAAAATAAGATCTTATATTAAATGGATATGGAATGGTTTATAAAGCAGATTTGCCCTCCAGTAGCATAAATCTAATAGAAAAATTTTCTCTGCCAACTAAAGATAAAAAGTAGTTTTATAAATAGGAAAGGTGGGGTGGTACATAAGAATTAATAACTTTATTATATGGATTGAATTGGAGGAAAGAGACTAAAGAGAGAGTTTTATATAAATCTTATAAAAATTTTTAAACATTATCTTATATTTACCTAGAAAAAGACCCAAATCAATTAATATAGAACTATTCAATTCTGTACTCATGATTCTAATGGGAAAGAGTGAAATTTATAAATTCTGTTTTAGTATACTATAGTTAAAGAAGTTATTTTGTGTGATAACTTAATTTTTTCTCAGCAAAATGGAAACATAGTGATAAAGGGAAGGAAGAAATGCAGTTTGCTGTTGGTTGGAGTGGTTCTTTAAGTGTCGAAGAAGGGTAGGTACCAGTTCATTTTTTTTGTCTGTCTGTGTGTTAAATGTATATGTGAAATTGTTTGACTTGTATGTGAATCTATTAAGAAGTTTCATTGTTTGGAATGTTTAGTAAATGTATATTCTTTGCAGCTTTAGAAGTTGTGGAGCATGATTTGGCCAGTAAATTTTAATTTTATTAACCATGTGATTACTTAAAAAAAAAAAAAAAAAGACCTCCTGTTTGGAGAGAATTTAAAGGAGAATTCAGAGAGAATCCCATAACATCCTGCCTACATTTTGTCTTTTCCTCAGCTCTTCATTAATTTTATTCAGCTAAAAAGTCAAGGGCTGCCCTTGTCTTCTCTGCTTTGCCAGCATTGGGCTTGTACTTAAAGGGGACAGTGCTACATTAATTCTTAAAACTCATAAATACTTCAGAAATGCAAGCTGGTAAATTCAAGTTTCCTACTGATCCAGTAAGAGTTTTTTTTTTTTTTAATTTATTTACTTTTATTTATTTATTCTTGGGTGCGTTGGGTCTTCATTGCTGCCTGTGGGCTTTTTCTAGTTGTGGTGAGCGGGGGCTACTCATTGCGATGGCTTCTCTTGTTGTGGAGCATGGGCTCTGGGTGTGCGGGCTTCAGTAGTTGTGGAACGTGGGCTCAGTAGTCGTGGCTCGCAGGCTCTAGAACGTGGGCTGTTTAGTTGTGGCACACGGGCTTAGTTGCTCTGCGGCATGTGGGATCTTCCCGGACCAGGGCTCGAACCTGTGTCCCCTGCATTGGCAGGCAGATTCTTAACCACTGTGACACCAGGGAAGTCCCAGTAAGAGTTTTAAAACCAGATCTCTAGCATGGTTCCATGATGGAGCTGCTAGCCTGGAACCTGCAGCCAAAACCTGTTTTCAGTTTAATTTTTATGACTGAAAGTTACCTGGTCGGAATGAATAAGATTCTTCAGACTTTGAATTCAGATTAAGACAACCAAGTAGAAATCCATAGTACATGCCTGACACTCTGTAGATACTCAATGAATTGTTTTCTACTTTTATCAAAATAAATACTATTTCTCCTTAAGTCATTTAGTCTAAGCATTTTGAAGACATTTAATTTCTCTCCGAAATGCAAAGCAAACATAATGGTTCAATTACTTTAGAGACGACAAACAAACAAAAAGGTTAATTTTGTTTGGTGATTATCTGGTTTGATGTATGTGGAAGAGGGTTTATATTTTGTTGAATGAGCTGGTGATGGTCCTGAGGTTTTACAGGTTAAATGAAAGTCAGTAAGAGTTATTTTTAATTTTGAGGCTTGTGTCTGAGTGCGAGACAAATTTTTCAAGTCTATGTGTCAGAAAAAAATAATCTTTTAGGGACCATCCAGCCTAGCAGATGCGCAGAAATAGGTTATCAGAAGCAAGTTTTGCAAAATATAAAAGAAGAAGCCAGCCAATTGAAATACAGTAAGTCTCTAGATTAACGTACTCAGCAGAAATGCAGCTTGCCTGCAATGTGATTGCCAGTCCCTCCCATTCCTCCCACCCTCTGCCCAAGTTCTTAGCTGATGCGGAGGAGAGGGGAACAGTAGGAAATGACTGCTTGGTGATCATTTGATGTTTTCTCAGTTTTGTGTATAATCCGTCATGTACAGTAAAGGTGTGCTTTCTTTACTTTTGTGCTTTTCATGACAATACAGAGTGTTTTTTATTAACTACAAGTGAATGTGACATTACCTTTTATGTGAATGGATTTTATGACCCTACTTGTGGGGGCAGTTTTCCTGTTTTTTTATGTAGGCATTGGATACAACTGATCCAAAGAGCTCATCTTCCACTTATTACCCTTTAACCTCCCATTATAGAGCTTTCAAAGTAATTGATCAATTCATTAGGTAAGCATATGCTTTTGTTTTTGTTTCTAGGGAATGTGTAACCAGTGCTCTGTGTATCCCACTAGCAAGCCAGAAGAGGTAAGGATGAATGAGTCATTTGTTTTCTTTGCTTTGATTTATGAGCGCTTAAGATCCTCACTTTTGTTTGTAACAGGAGTTCCACTGGACGACCAGACTGGACCTGCATTGTGGTGGGCTTTACTTCGGGTTACGTACGCTTCTACACAGAGGTGAGTTGAGTGCTGTGCGGTTCCGAGATAACAGCTGACTGGTAACCCATCCCCATCACACTCACTTGTGACTCATGACCACCTGCCCCTTGGGACTGTGTATTTGATACTTTACGGGGTGGAGGCTGGAACAGGGGGAGCAGTGGTGGTAGAAAGTTCTGATAGGAGCTATAGAGAAGAGAAGCCATATTCTGCAAACAGACTACCAGGCATCCGCGGAAGGCCTGTTGGGGGAATGATGCTCTCTGGCCGTACCTGTTCCGGCATATTGGTAAGAAAACAAGCAGGACTTATCTCTGTGCTTCCTCCTAGAGTGGCGTGCTCTTGCTCTCACAGCTCCTGAATGAGGACCCAGTGCTACAGCTCAAGTGCAGGACCTATGAAATCCCACGACATCCCGGCGTGACGGAGCAGGTAGCATAAGAGATCGTGTCCAGAGTAGTAGTGGCTTTACTTTGAAGTCGTTTCTTCCCTCTTTCATTGGGTGGAAACTTTAAGAATCTTCTTGTGGCACAGTTAGCTGTGCTATCATATTCTAAATAGAAATATAAGCTACTCATAGCTGAGTAAAGAATACCAGTCTTGCTTTTACTTACTTAATGAAATATTGTATGCTTTGCTCTATAATGAGATAAAACACTTAAGTCAGAAGATAAAAAGTTTTCTCATTTTTAGGATTTAATAGTGACTTAAGGTACAAAATGGCATTTTGTAACTTTATATCTTTTTTATTTGAACTTAGGTGTCAAAATTATATAGAGAGTAAAAGAAAAAAGTTCTAGCTGTATTATTAATAGTGCTACCACATTGCACTAACCTATTTCTCAGAAACGGGGTTATTAAATTTTTATTTATTGTGGAAAATATTTTATATTCATTGAAGATTTTGATAGAGAAAATAATACTGTTGAGTGTCTAAGGCTGTCCACAGCTTTCGCTTCTTCCTGGTGCTGTGTGAGATTTTCATTGTCTCACAGTCAAAAAGTAATTGTAGAGCCACATAAACTGGTACACTCTTAGCACATCTTGTTTGGTACCCTGTCAAAACTATATAATATGCCTTCTTTCTTTGTGCTATCCTGCTTCCAGAAGATTTGAAGTAAACAAATCTTCAAATTTGACTATGTGGACTTAAATTGTGCGATAGATGGACTGGAGCTCTAGAAGAAACTTAACTAGTAAGAGAGACTAGACTAATACCTGTTAATACCTATGAATGAGTTAATCAGTAATATTAAACAATACCTTATTATTTGCTAGTTTTTATGAACAGAATAACTTCCGTGCACGTTTAGAGAAGAGGGAGCTCAATTAGGACTAGGACAAAAAAGGAAAATTTCACTGAGGGGGTGAAGTTTGAATTAAGCCTTGAAAATGGGTATCGAACTTAATTAGTGAGAAAAGAAGGGAAAGTATTTTAGGTAGTCAGGAGAAAAATGAAGGAAGATTCAAACACAGGACTATGTATGAGACAACAAAGAAACCTATGTTAGAAACTAATGAGAAATTGTTGAATAGGCTGAGTGGCCAAATTTTTCATAAATTTGAAAGCCAAGTGAAAATCGGAATTGATTCAGGAGATTTAGAAGCTACTAAAGATTTATGAGAAGGAAGGGATGTAATCAAAGGGATCTTGAAGGGCTCTTTCTTCAGGATGAATTGGACTTGTGAGAGCCTGGAATCAGGGAGGCTAGTTATCTGGTTTTTTAAGTTATCTGTAATAGTTGTACAGTGCTGGGAGCCAGGACTGCAATGGCTGTGGAAAGAGAAAGGACTAGTACAAAAATCATTTTGGAGGAACATTTGACAGGACTGGTTATCGTATTGAGATGTTGAATTTTAAAAAGAAAAATGAGTTGGCTCCAAGATCTCCATCCTAAGGTGTGCCATTGACAAAGTTGGAAGAAGGGACTGCTTTGGCAGTAAACAAAGGTTATTAAATTTGGTTTTGGACGTGTTGAGTTTTAGGTGATGGTAGGAAATAAAATGAAAATACCATCATGCCTGTAGTGATACAGAACTACCATATAGACACAAAGACTAGATTGAAGACGATGGTTGAAGTCATAGGTAATGAATGAATTCTTCCGCATAAAGGTTATAGGAAAATAAAACTGAAGCCTGAAGACTTAAGTCTTATAATATTCATCGTAAGGAGACAGGAGAAAATGGAACTATTGAAGGAAACAAGAAAGAAGCTGTTGGAAATCCAAGAAGATAATTTTTTTTTTTTTTACAAATTCTCTGGAAGATGAAGGTTCTTTAAACACTTTAAACTTGGTTATGTCTATAATAATCTTTTTTTTAGAGCTGGCGGGAAAATATAACTCACATTTAAATATTTGTTTGCTCTTTGCTTTTGCGAGTCAAGAAAATCCTTTAGTTGAAAAATAACTCTTATTAAACATGCGGAGAGAAGCCTTTGTCGTTACCCTGCATTCTACACAGCATCTCTGGATCTGATACATCAGTTTATAGATCAAAAATATCTATTTGCTGCTTCTTCGGTATACTCCTAGGTCTATTAAAGATCACAGGAGCAGATTTCCTGTAATTCAGTTCTGGGGGCAGTGAGTGTAGTAGGTGTGATGGCTGATCATTGTAGGAGAAGATTCCAAACGTTTTTTCTGGAATGTCAAAGAAACTTCTTCCGTGGTTTCTGCATAAAGATCTCTGTCATTTAGCATAATTTCTGCTGCTGTTGGACCACTGGTGTTTGTATGAGTGTCTTCTTCAGGAAGGCGGTCTCGTTTTGGAGATAACTGACGAGCTGGTGATTAGTTCCTCCGAGTCGGGGGCTCTCTCCCCGCTGCTACGCTCAGTGGACTATGTAAGCGTAGCCTTGTGAACTTGTTATGTGAGCCCACACCCCAGCTCCCTCGTCCCCTGCTTCCCACCCCTTGTGGCCCACAAATGTCTTTTAAAAATGGAAACACCCCAACAGTCCAGTAGAAAAAAGGGGCAAGGCAATTCTCAAAAGAAGAAATATAATTGGTCTAAAGCATATGATAAAATTTTGAACCTTATTAATAATCTAAGGACTATAAGCAACTACATTTGCATAATTTTTCGCCTTTCAGATTGGCAAAGATGAAGATTAACAAAAGTTGGTGACAATATGGAAAAACAGACACTGTCATGTATTGTTGATAGAAGTAAAAATTGATAGGTACTTTGTTGAGACAGTTTAATAACACAAATGAAAATCGCGAACACCCAACAGACCCCCTTGAAGGAATTTACACCAAAGCGATGTGAAAAGATATATACAGAAGAATGTTTATTGCAGTGATGTTTATAATAATGAAAATATTTAATTCATTCACAAATATTTATTTACTGCCTATTATGTGCCCAGCCCAGTTCTAACCACTGAGAATCCATCGGTGAACGAGACATGCAAAGTTTCTGCTTTCGTGGGGCCTGCAGTTTGGGGATGGTGGAGGGAAACCAACGATGAATAACTAGGGATTCCAAGACGATTCCAGCCTCTGATACGTGCCGTGAGGGAAGTAATCATGTTGATGAGAGTGTACTGAGATGAGGGAATGGAGATGATGTTTGAGACAGAGGCTCAGGAGTAGCCTCTCAGAGCAACTACATTTGAGCCAAGACCTGAACAATCAGAAGAATTAGGCAGGCAAAGACCTGGGAGGTGAAGGTCCAGGCACACGGAAAGTACTGAGGTGATAATGGCCTTCGTGTTCAAGGAGCCAGGGCAGAGAGGTGAGATGAGGTTAGAGACAGGGACCGCATCTTGTAGCATGGTTAGAGTTCAGGTTTATTCTAAGTGCAGAAGGGAGCCATTGGAGAGATTTAATCAGGAGAGTGGTTCCATCGGCTGAGTCTCAGGAAGATCATGCTGTCTGTGGAGCATGGGTGGTGGAGAGCAAAGGCAGAAGCAGGAGGCCAAACTAAATGTCCATCAGTAAGAACTGGTTAATGGAATTTTGGTTCATACAATGAAATACAGCATCTCCACAACAAAAAATGATTTGCTCGCTTATTGAAATGGAAGAATATAATGGACGTATTATTGAGTAATGAAAAACATGTTATAGAATAGTTTTAGAATACCAAAAACATGTTATATGGTATAGCCTCATACAAAAGTGTGCGATTATATGTGACACTATATACTGATGTATGTCAGGGATTTCAGGTGAGTTTCCTTTTTCTCTTCTTTTTACTTTTATGTGTTGTTTTTAATCCATACAGTGACTATATTTCATTTTTATGAAACTTGTACATTTTTTTGGTTACTCCCACCATCTATCCTGAAAACGTTATTCACCATGTACAAAGGCTCATATTTGAGAAGAATGTTAAGTCCTTGGCCAAAAGGCATTCTGAAATTGTCTATTTTTACTGTTCCTCTGCCTGATATTGTTTTGTGTGTTGGGTGTTTGACAGTTGTTTAGTTATAGTATTTTTAAATTTTACATTAATAATGACATTCAGCTATAATAGAAAAATAGATATGCTTATTTGGCAATAATGAAAATTTATTATTTTCTTCTTTCTTATTCCTTTAATAGAATGAAGAGTTGAGTATCTTATATCCAGCTGCCATCGTGACTATTGATGGATTTAGCCTTTTTCAGTCTCTTCGTGCTTGTCGAAATCAGGTGGCCAAAGGTAATTTTGGCCAAGAAGTAGCTAACTTCTGGTGATGTTTGTCTTATTTAACTTAATCTACTTAGAGAATTAAATATGTCTTCTAAATTAAAAAGGCCTTCTGAACTAGATTTAAAGGGAAAAAAAACGGTTACTGTAGAAATGGGAGTGCATTGCTGGTAGATTGCTTAGTAAGATAAAGGCCAGGACTAGAACATCAACTCTCTTTACATGTTGCCAGTTGAACTGCAGGCTTTATTTACTGATTCAGCAATATGTCTTGGCCAGTTAAGAGAGAGGTTCAACACTGGGGTGGAGAATTTAGTTGCATCTAGCTGAGAAACCAGATTTCTCACTAGATGGGCAGCTTTTTGGGCCAGCATACTAAAACCTTGTGAATTCTCACTGAGGTTAAAGATAGCATAAAGTTTGCAGGGGGCATTTCCCTCGCAGGAGGCAGGACCCAATAGAAGTCAACATCAGCTGCTTTCTCCTAACTTGAAACACTTCTGAACAGAGAAAAGTTAGAGACCTAAATATAATCTACATAGGCAGCTACATCATTTCCAGACTTTGGCATGAAAAGTGCACAAACAATCAAGAATTCTTAATCTTTACTACCCCTAGTTTACACTCTGATGCTATTATGTCTTTAGAAGAGGATATTGGTTTTCATCAAATTCAAGATGCCATTGATTATAAGGTGCACTCTTATCTTCTGTTTCACTAAGCCATTGAGAGTCGCACCATTGATTTTAAGATTCCGGTTTTAGAGATGTTAAAATCATGGGAACAAAAAGCCTTAAAAGCAATGAAAATACCAGTGTTGGTGCTGACTTTCCCCATTTTCTTCTGGGTTTGGATAAAGGAGCCTAATGGTCCTAAAAAGAGCAAACAAAGTTTAACTCTTAAATGATTTAGACAGCTCCCTGAAAGAAGAGTTTAATTAAGATGTGTTATCTAATTCATAAAGATTGTTCATAAATCCAGAACTAAACTATAAGACACAAAAGAAACAATTTCTTCTAAGGAAAGAATGCAGCATCTTACATTGCAATAGAAAAATTTTCGCTGTCCTTTTGGCAGATTGTAACATTCTTGGTTATATTGCTCTTTAATAGTACATGCTTTTCTGTAAAGTCAAAATTTGTTTGAATTTTTATACCTATTTTCATAATCTTTTAAATTATTTAAATTTAGCCCACCGTAAGTTTCAATATCTTTGTTATCTTGGAGACATAATAGTTACCGTTAATGTATGTGCCCAAAGAGACTGGCCATTTTCTGTAGATAAAAATTCTGTCCATAAAATAAACTAGAAATAGACAATTGTGTTTTAATTGGTATCGTCAGCCGTTTCATTTTTACTATGTTTGAATTTCCGTTTATTTTGTTATGTATGAGTCCATAAAGCCATTTTATCTCCTAGGAAGTAAGTAAGTAAGCCACTTTGTGCCCTCTTATTTATTTTAAGTTGCTCTAAAAATAATTCTGATTACTTAGCTGCAGACTGTTGTGACTTTTATTTCACAATATAGGAAAACTCTCTTCTTGGCCTTACTCTCAAATCTGGAGTGCTAGGAGGATTACATTTTTCCTTTATCAGGGTACTTCTGCTTCCAGAATAAACAACCAGAATCCAGCCGTTTTCTAATATGTAGCATGAGAATGTACTGATGACTGGGGCCTTGGGCATGAACCTGCGGCAAGAGCTGGAACTGTTGCTTTTCTTTTCATTATTCACTCCCTAGGTGGAAATGCTGAGGTCAGTGATCGGCATTGCATTCATTTTTCTGGCAGTGCTATCACTGTTAGCATATCTTTCTGTCAAGCCTGGCCTCAGTTACTTGCGTTCAAGACCCTTCTATGATGTGTCCTTTGCTGGGCATACCGTCAGGTTTCGCTAAGGCACTGGTTGCTGTTTCCAGGATTTTATCCACTGTCTTACTCAAGGGGGAGAAATTAGTTACTCGGCTTCTACTGCAGTTGGAATTCACCTTGATTTTTAGTGGTGGTCTAGAATTTTTAATAGTCTTCTCTAATTCCTTGAGTGTTCCAAAATCTCTTATGACAGCCAACTTAGTCTTTTAATGTTTGCATTTTATGTGCATTGTATTGGTGTGAATAAATCTCACTGTATGTGTAGTTTACATTACTTTGCCTCATTATTTTTAGTTGAAATTTTAGAATTATAAACCAAGTTATTCTTGATGATTTTTCGGTAAAACTTCATTTTCTCCATTATATTTAAGTTTGGATTGTCTAATTTTTATCTTTGACAGCTGCAGCATCAGGCAATGAGAACATACAGCCACCACCGTTAGCTTATAAGAAATGGGGTCTACAAGATATTGACACAATTATCGATCATGCTAGTATTGGTAAGCCTGACTAGTTCCAATTCTTTTGGAATTTACTTCTTATACTTTTTGATTGAACTGTCTCATTTATTGGAGATGTAGATTTATTCTCATGTGAAAAGAATATGCATTGTCTTTAGTGAGACATCTGGAAGGTAGTTCAGACGTAGAGATTATCAGAGGTTTAATGTCTTTAAGAAATGGTAGCAGTTTTAGCAATTATGCCCTCAGCAGCAGTACTGTACAGTTTTAAGTCACCCACTATTTGACTTGTTTTTATACAGATGTGTTTAATTCATATAATTACCAGATGGATCAGTCTTCTACACATGTAACTTGTAGACCAGCAAAATATAGAGAAAAGCAGATTTTTTTCTTGCAGCTAGTATTTGAAGGCATACTGTCTTAGGTATCGGGAATGTGGAGGTGGAAAGACGTGGGTCTCTGCTGTCAGGAAGCATGAGGCTAGTTGGGAGAAACATGTGAAAACAATACGGTGCCACAGCATGATGGTTGTCATAGTAGACAAGTGGACCGGCTGTAGTGGGAGCAGAGGAGAAGCCTCCAGCACCAAGGGAATCAGGGAACAGGAGGTTGACTTCAATCTGAGATGGAAAGAATGAGTAGGACTTGACCAAGAGAGCAAGCGTGCGTGAGGCACTCTAGCCAACAGGTACTAGGCCTGGGGTGGAAGTGCCTTGTGTGCAGGAGAAAACAATGAAGACTGGCCCAAGCGAGGCCAGTCTGTAACTAGGAGTCAGATTCTGAAGGACTAGTATACTAGGCGGAGGAACTTATATCTTTCTCCTCACCACGTTGAGAGTCATTGAAGAATTCTGAGCAAGAGAATGGTATTATCACTTAGCCTGTTGGAAAAATCACTTCGGTGGAAGTTTAGAGGTTGCAATGTAGGGGTCAAGACTAGAAACTAGGTGCAGTAAGGAAGCTATAATAATCTTGGTGAGAAGTAATGGGCATCTAAATTAAGAGTAGAAATGGGTGTGGAGAAGAAGGAAATGCTATTTTAAAACACATACCTATTTTTTTCTGTTTAATAGTATAGTATATGCTTGTTAAAATTTTCACATAGTACATAAAAATATAAAGAAAAAAGGAAAAAAAAATCCCTCTAAATCCTACCGTCTAGAGATACTCACCATTGGCTTTGTGGTAAACATCCTTACAGACGTGTGTAAGTGCAAGTGTAATATGTGTATGGTTAGGCAGAGATATGTCTTCATAAAAGGATTCCATCATGACAACTACATTGTAGCCCTTTTCCAATCAACATATTACAAAGAGGCTTTCACCACAGTTTTGCTAAATATACATTTTCTCAGAGTCCTAGTAGAAGACAGATGACATCCTTGAAATAGGATAATTGAAAGAGGTTTTATTTGCAGAGAAACTACTTATACAGATGTTGTATAGGAGAACCACAAAGGATAGTACAGCGTCTTGCGGGCCGATCAGCAGTGCAGCTGTTAACCACTCCTAGGCCTAAATTCTGCTCATTGGAGATAATGAGTAGAATCAGCGCCTTAAGAGCAGGATGGCTTTTGGCCAGTGGTCACAAGGAAATAGATATCCTGTCTTCGTTCTCCTTTCTGTCTTTGATGTCCTGGTGAGACTTCCCATTGTCTGAACCCAACTTGAAGTCTGGGCTAATAATATGCACATACTGGCTCCTGGGGCCAGCAGGGAGAGAAGGAAGGAGTGTGAATCCAGAGGGGGGGAACAGAAGATACCTGACGTGCAGATTATCTTTGTGTACTGTTGCATTTCTGCTACAGAATACAGGTAGACCTTGTTTTATTTTGCTTTGCTTTATTGCGTGTCACAGATACTGCTTTTTTACAAACCCTGTGTTGAGCAGGTCTGTTGGTGCCGTTTTTCCAAAAGGATTTGCTCACTTCGTGTCTCTGTGTCATATTTTGGTAATTCTTGAAATATTTCAACCCCTCTACCAGCAAAAAGATCATGAGTCGCTGAAGGCTCAGATGATGGTTAGCAGTTTTTAGCAATAAAGTATTTTTAAATTAAGGTAAGTATGTTTTGTTTTGTTTTTTTGCGGTATGCGGGCCTCTCACTGTTGTGGCCTCTCCCGTTGACGCGCAGGCTCAGCGGCCATGGCTTACAGGCCCAGCCGCTCCGCGGCATGTGGGATCCTCCCGGATCGGGGCACGAACCCGTGTCCCCTGCATCGGCAGGCGGACTCTCAACCACTGCGCCACCAGGGAAGCCCAGTATGTTGTTTTTTTAGACATCACACTGTTGCACACTTAACAGACTACAATATAGTGTAACCATAATTTTTACTTGCGCTGGGAAACCAGAATATTCATTGACTCACTTTGCTGTGATATCTCCTTTATTTCAGTGGTCTGGAATTGAACCTGCAATATTTCCGAGGTCTGCCTATAATCTGTAATAAGCACCTTGTTGGTAGACATTCGTTTGTCTTTACTTTTTGCTAACATAAAAATGTGCGAAATTCCAAAGTGTTGAGTTCAGTTCAGGGTGACTTCCTTGTTCTGTTAATTAAACTTTGGAACATTGAGACAGGCTAGGAGAAATGATTGGATAGAAAATATTATTCTATTCATTTATCTCCCAGCCTACAAAATGGAAAAAGAAAAGGTGCCATGAGCTTTATTCTGTGTACATCTTTACGTAGAGGTCTGACTAGTTCATTCAACAAAGAAATGAATGAATACCTGTTACATCCCCAGGCACTAATATTGGTGCTAGAAATACAAGGCAGACAGTACCCCTGCCCTGATGAAGCTTACGTCCTGGTGATGGGGAGACAAAAAATAAACAATTAAACCAAATGAATAAATAGGGTAATAACGAAATGTTAGTAAGCATCATGAAGAAGATAAGCAGAGGGTTATGACAGAAGTAAAGGAAGAGGGGACTCTGGGTAGACTGGTGAGCAAAGGCCTCTCCTGAGACATGCAGGATGGGAAGAAGCCGAGATAGAGGCCCGGGGTGGGGAGAGATGGAAGACTGGAGGCTTAAAGAAACAGAAGGGAGGTTGATGTGACTTGATTGTACAGTGAGGGGGAAATGGGACCAGGTAAGGTTGGAGATGTAGACTGGGGTCAGATCACATAGGGGTGAGAAGTTCGGGTTTTATTCTAAATGCAGTGGACATCATTGATGGAGTCTAAGTAGGAGATATTTAAAAATATCCCTCTGACTGCTCTTTAGAGAGAGGCTTACAGAATAAAGAGAAGACCAGCAAGGAGTTTGTTACAATAAGAGAGAATGAGGACTTTGTCTAGGGAGGAAGCAGTGGTGCTAGAGAGAAGTAGACAGGTTGGAGATGTATTTGCACTTGCTAAGGGATGGGTATTAGAAACGAGAGAAGGAAAAGGGTCAAAGACTTCTTAGCTTTTAAGTTTGAGCAGCTGAGTGGATGGTCAGGCTATGGCTGAAATGTGCATAGAAGGCAGAGGTTTGAGTGGACAAGTGGAGAGTTGTGTTTTTTACAGGTTAACTTCTGGCTCAGACATTGAAATGGCGATGCCAAGTAGACAGTTGGATATACGAGTCATAAGGTCAGGAGAGAGGTCCTGATTATCCATATAAATTTGGGAGGGAATGGTTAACTGTGGAATGCGTCATAGAATTCAAGAAAGGAGAAGGTCCATTGGATTTGACAACATAGAGCTAGGTCTTCATTGACTTTGATCTGAGAAGTTTAAGTGGAATGGTGAGGATGAAAGCCAGATTGGGGTGCATTTAAGAATAAATATTTCCACCCCCTACTTTCAAAACTCAGCAACATAAGAACAGGAAATCAACTCACAGCATCTCCATTTTGACTCCAGTCCTGACCTCTTCACTAAACTTCTTACTCATTTTCCAACTACTGAACATTTCCCCCTGGGTATCCAAACTTAACAGATCCCAAACAGAATTCTTAATTTCCTCTCCTCACACTTGGTCCTCCTTTGCTCTTCTCTCTCGTCTTCGTCTGCTTTCGCCACCACCAAAAGCTTTTGAGTCGTCCTTGACCGTTCTCCTTTTGTCACACTCCTCATCCAGTCCACCTTTGTCTCTCCTACCCCCACAGTAGATCCTGAATCTGACCGAGTCTCATCTCCATCGTTGGCAGCACGGCAGTCCATGCCACCATTGTCTTTTGCCTGAACTATCGAGGAGAAAGAAATCCTAACTTCCTGCTTCCTTTCTTGATCTCTAAAATCCGTTCGCCAGTTAGCAGCTAATTTTGAAATATAAGTCATATTTTTGTCACTTCTCTGCTCACAACCTTATAGTGGCTTCCCATCTTATTCCTGATAAAACCCAACGGCCTTACGGTGGCATCCAAGGCCCGACATTGTCTGGTTTATGGTACCTTTTGACTTCACCTCCTGTAGAACTCTCCCCTCCTCACTGCCCTGTTCCACCACGCTGATCTCCTTACTGACCCTCAAATACAACAAGCATTCTCCCACTTTGCAGTCTTTGTAATTGTTGCCCTTTCTGCTTGGAAGGTTTTACCCAGCTAGTCACATGGCTCTCTCCCTCACTTCGTTCAGGTGTCTGTTCAAATATCATTTTGTCAAAGAGGCCTTCTTTAGCCAGTATAATAGACCTAGAAAATTATCCAGTGAGTTTGACTTTATGGAAATTTATATTAAGAAGAACTGTAAGGTGTTTGAAAGTGCGGAAAGACCTCAGTTGTTCAGGGAAAACCCTAAATAACAAGGTAGTAATAAATCCAGAAAAGAAAAATTCACATCTAAGGCAGTGTAATTACAGTAGGCAGCTTGTCTCAGCAGTGAGTTCTTTATAATGAGAACAGAGAGTGTGAATTTAATTTAAAAATTGAGATATGGTTATATTGGAAGAATATGGGGGGAAAAAGAGGGGCTGTATATATGCTACGTCTTCATTTACCTTAAATCAATGAAAAATGGTGCTAAAATTGGTGAATCAAAAGACAACAGTCCTCTAGAGCCCACCAATTTGCCACAATGTAGAGAGCAGGACAGAATGTTAAATAATACCACAGGGATGCAGTCAGCAAAATCTAGACTGTAGGAAATTAATGTCCAACAGCCTGGTTTCTTCAATGAATAGATTTCAAGAGATTTGGGCATGGGAGGGTAGAGGAGCAGAGAAAGACAGTAGGATTTTGGGCTGGTGTTGTATGCCCATTTGTTTGTGGTCCTTATGCTAAAACTCAGGTGTATTGTTTTTCTCTGACAACGATCAGCTCTTTTGGTGCAGACAGCAGAGAATGCAGAAGGTTTAGGTCAACCAAGGGTGAGATTGAGCCAGGTGAGTATGTGGAGGAAGAGGGGGACAGGGGAGTCGTGCAAGAGAGTGATTGTGATGGAACACAAATCAGAACCAGGTAAGAAGCGAAGTGATCACATGAGTTACTGGATAAATAGTGTGAAAATGGTAGGAGTAATGTACTGAAACTCTTAATGAAATGCAGAATTATTACAGGGGATTACTAGAGTAGTTAAGATGGAAAGCTAAGAGGTGGTGGTCAAAAGGTGGTACACTTAAAATCAAAGTTTCAAAAAATATATAGTTGATACTGACAGGATGCAAGGGATGGCATTGAAAGCGGATGACCCTACTGGGTGAAGTAAGTCAGACAAAGACAAATATATGATATCGCTTATGTGTAGAATCTAAAAAAATGGTACAAATGAACTTATTTACAAAACAAAAGAGTCACAGTTGTGAAAAACAAACTTGTGGTTACCGGAGCGTGGTGGGGAGGAGGGGGAGGGATAAATGGGGAGATTGGGACTGACATATACACACAACCATATATAAAATCGATAACTAATCAGGACCTACTGTATAGCACAGGGAACTCTATTCCATACTCTGTAATGACCTATATGGGAAAAGAATCTGAAAAAGAGTGGATATATGTATATGTATAACTGATTCACCTTGCTGTACAGCAGAAACTGACACAACATTATAAATCAACTGTAGTCTAATAAAAATTTTTAAAAATTGCATTTGACATTATTAATAAAGATTGTCAGTTGTACTTATTATGTTTCAAAATGATATTGCGGTATACCTGGCTGATAACTTGAAAGTTCTGTAGTTATAAGAAATGACAAAGTGTTATTGAATTTCCTATATAATGAAAACAAAAAGTGGGTGACTTAAATTGTGGGAAGGAAGAGCTCATTCGTGGCAAGGATGGAAAGAACTGGTCAACCATCTCTTTAGAATGGGTGAGAATAAATCCACTTAAAATTTTGGATCCATTTTTCTGGATAGCTTGTAGCCGTTTATACTCACACCTATAGTGTGTGGGAATATGAAGAGAGAGTATTGAAACTTAAATTTCAGTTTCTATGTGACATCATTCAGCCTTTGATGTTGTGCTGGTAGAATAAGGCAGAACTTATGCCAATTTTAATCATGTAGTAAAGACATTCTGTATGTTGAATCATGAATTCATTCATAAATATGAGACAGGCATTGTAATCTTTCAGAACAGTTCAGCTTTTGTAAGGATTATTTGATGACTTGAATCCCTAAATCCAGTAAGTTGTTTGCTTATGAACTCCCTAAAAGCATTTCCTTTACCAGGATCCTTCTTCAGGAGCAATGCATTTTTTGGACCATTTGCATTCAAAGTCGAGGCAGTACACACATATGAAAATTAGAATAACTCATGTTCCATTCTGCAGTGTGTTTGTGTTCGGAAGCTGTCAACCAGGTATCTTCATGTACCAAGAGTACCCGAGTTGGAAGATGCTGCCCAAGGCCACACGTGTTGGAATCTAGCAGGATCTTTACTTTCTAGATCTCTAAGCTCACTGCCCCCCTACTTCTCTCCCTGCCACCTGGTGCGTTTAAATGGCGCTGGCTTCTCTGCTGCCCCACACAGCATGTGGGCGTCAATATTCAGTCTGTCTGCTTCTGTTCTTAGAGCCTTGGGGAAATGATCAGTACCTCTGCATTGTAAGAGCCTGGGGATTTCTGGACTACAGGGTATCAGTAGATGTTTGAAAGGGTTTATTTTCACTGTGTTGGGAAGGATATGGGAGTACAGATGCTCTCCTACCTTTTTGGTCGGGGTGTACATCGGCAGCACTCTACAGCATGCAACGTCCCAGTACTTAATAAAATTTTTTTTCAAATGTAGATCCCCTTTGAGCCTGCACTTCTGTTTATGAGGATTTGCCATACAAATGAACTTATATATAGATATGCACAGATCTATCAAGGATATATGTTGCAGCATTATTTGTAGTGGCAAAAGGTGGGAAACAACATAAATGTCCATCAGAAGGTCAGATCAGTTATGGCATGGCCACACAGTGGAATACTCTGAGTGATTGTCAAGAATGAGGCATGTCTCCTTGATATTTTATTAAATTAAAAAAAACAAGGCACACATCAGTTTATTTGGTGTGCTGTCATTTATGTGCATACAACATTTCTGGAAAGCAGCATAAGAAACTGTTTCAGTTGTTACCTTGAAGAAGTGAACTAATAATACCTAGAGATATTGGTGGACTCTATATATCTGTACCATTTGAATTTGTATGTTTAAAAAATTAATATTTAAATTTTGTAGTATTTTATAGCTTAGAATAATTATAGGTGGCAACTTTAATATCTTTATGTTTTATGATATTGATCTTGTAGCTTTTGAAAATGACTTTTGTCTGTTAAATGAAACTCAGCAGTTAGCATCTTAGAATGGAGTTGAAATAAAAATCTGATAACCTAAAATGACAGTGTCATTTCAGTTCATTAAAATCATGTGTTGTTATTGCTGTTTTATCATTAGGTATTATGACTCTGTCCCCTTTTGATCAAATGAAGACTGCCTCCAATATAGGTGGATATAATGCAGCAATTAAAAACAGCCCACCCGCTATGTCTCAGTATATCACTGTAGGGTCCAATCCATTTACGGGCTTCTTCTATGCTTTAGAGGTAAGTGTTTCATCACTGATCTTGATTTTTCAACATATCTACAAATTGGGATGGTAACATAGCCTTAGAAAGATTAAGCAGTTTACATTTCTAAGTTTCAGTGTAAGCTAAAATTAGTCTCAACTCACTTTCTTCTAAATTCTTTAGATTAACTGAGAAGGTACTAAAGTCAGTGTAATACAAGCAGCCTTCTTTGTTTCTGATGCCCCGAATTCATAGTTGAGTTGTCTTTAAATATTGGTGCAGTAATCAGAGGCTTAGTGATGTCAGCCCACCAGGGATTTGAGTAAATGAGGAATTGTAAAGACAGAGCAAGCCGCCAACTATAGTTGATAAAGTGGTGAAAATTGCTTCCTAAAATTGGGAAAAATTAGGTGTTAGATTTGGTATCTACTGTTGTTCGCTTAAACAGCACCCTTCTCAAAATGGTTCAAACCATCTTTTTGCTTTAATAAATACATTTTAAAAAAAAAGAGGGGGAGGGATAAATTAGGAGTTTGGGGTAAATATATACACACTCCTATATATAAAATAGATAAATAACAAGGTCCTACTGTATAGCACAGGGCAGTATATTCAATATCTTATAATAATGTATAATGGAAAAGAATCTGCAAAAGAAAAAAATATATATAGCTGAATCACTTTGCTATACACCTGACACTAACACAACATTGTAAATCAACTATACTTAAAAATTTTTTTGTATAATATGAAACATTTCTAAATAAAAACTGGTTAAAAAATGAAAAAAAAAAAAAGAGGGAAAAGGGCCGGTTGTATATGGATAAGAAATCAATAGCCCTGGTAGAAAAATGCCATTTTACTGTCCTAGTTTAATTTTTTTTCATTAATTACAATTTAAAGAGGGAAATCCTAAAGATAACTAAACTACTAGTGATTTTACTTTTCCTTTTCTTTTTTTAATTGGCCATGCCACATGGCTTGCGATATCTTAGTTCCCTGAAGAGGGATCATACCCGAGCCCCCTGCAGTGGAAGCATGGAGTTCTAACCACTGGACCACCAGGGGATTCACTTTTAAACTGTAGAGTTAAAACTTTTGATTATATTGCTACCTCCTACCTTTTTAAGGTACATCTCGTTTAGAAAATATATTTTGTTTATCTGTCAGCTGTTGTTTTCTCTTTCAAATGTTCTGTTTTTCAGGGAAGCACGCAACCATTATTATCTCACGTTGCACTAGCAGTGGCAAGTAAACTCACTTCTGCTTTATTTAATGCTGCCAGGTAATTACATCACAATTTAAATGATCTAATTTGCATCTCACTAGGTTTTAACTTATATTTTGATAGTCTGCAGTTTAAAACTCTGGAAGCCCTGGTTTTAGTCTGAATTTGCTTTCTTTCCAGTGGTTGGCTTGGTTGGAAAAGCAAGCATGAAGAAGAAGCTGTCCAGAAGCAAAAACCCAAGGTTGAACCAGCTACCCCATTAGCTGTAAGGCAAGTCTGTCGTGCTCTTCTCACATTTTAGTGTTCTTAGGGATGCGCTCTTGAATTAATGGTCTTTTTGTGTGCTTATCTGATTTGTTGATTTCCTGAGTCTTTGGAGCTTCTAAAAGTCATTAATGTGGGACTAATTTATATATATATATATATATATATATATATATATATATATATATAAAAATTTATTTATTTTATTTGTTTATTTTTGGCTGCATTGGGTCTTTGTTGCTGTGCGCGGGCTTCCTCTAGTTGCGGTGAGCTGGGGCTACTCTTTGTCCTGGTGCACGGGCTTCTCGTTGCAGTGGCTTCTCTTGTTGCGGAGCACGGGCTCTGGGTGCACGGGCTTCAGTAGTGGTGGCACGTGGGCTCAGTAGTTGTGGCTCACAGGCTCTAGAGCACAGGCTCAGTAGTTGTGGTGCACAGGCCTGGTTGCTCTGCGGCATGTGGGATCTTCCTGGACCGGGGCTCGAACCCGTGTCCCCTGCATTGGCAGGCGGATTCTTAACCACTGCGCCACCTGGGAAGCCCAATGTGGGACTAGTTTTTTCCACCAGAATGTAAAGTCCACGAGGACAGTGATTCTTGCCTCTTTTATCACAGCTGTCTCCCTGTCATGTAGTGGGGGCTCAATACGTATGTGTTGAGCGTGCTCTTCTACAAACACCTGTACACTTAGCTTAAGTTGCAGGCAAATTGGTTTTTTGATAGCTGTTGGATTTCTTTCTGTAAAAAGTTTAGTTTGTCATTAAGCTGTAGAAACGCAAAAAGGACTTAGTGATTTCTTTAAAAAATAAATAAATAAAAATGGGGGGTCCCATGCATCCAAGCACTCTTCAACATGCCGGCTTGTGCTTCCTTGCTTGCTTCAGCAGTGCTGTAGGATATTGAGTGGATTCGTCAGGTTTTGTGGGGAGTGAGTATGATTTTTGCCTGATTCTGTTTTTAAATCATTTTTTATTACCCAATAGAAAGGGAAATAGAAACCTCCCCCCCCTTTTTTTAGATGTTCTTCAACTAAAGAGATATAACTAATTATCTGTTATTAAAATTGATTAAAGATTATCTTCCAGGGTTTTTTCCATCTTAAAGTATGTTATAACACATCACATTTTCTAAGGTCGCCCAAGAATCAAGAAATAAGCCAAATGGCCCTTATGCATCCAAAGAGATGTAACAAAGTTTGAGTACTTTGTCGCAGGGACTTTTTTCAAAATGAGCTCTTCTGGTCCTTTCTCAGTACCTCTTTACTTTTATTTTACTCACAGTTCTAATAAGATTGATAATAGACCAAGAGCAGTTTACAGATAACTATTTAGAAGAAGGAACGTTCTTGTACCTGCATTGGTATCAGCAAGATATGATATCTAGAAAAAAAAAAGAGAATAGATCAGAAATCAGAACTACACAGATGCCTGTGTAGGAGCAGAGTATTCTAAAATTTAGTTGGTTGTGAGGGTGTTGTTTCCTACGATGTATCACTTAATCAAGGAAATCTAGTTGTACTTGAGACTCTCTGAAAATAGGTTGTGGATATCTATATAGAAAATCTCTGAAACAAAACCTAGGTGTTTTTATTTTGTAATAGAAGAAATTTCCTTATGCATTTTGTATCACAAAATGTGGTATAATCAGTAAATAAATTAGGTATTAATCCATAGAAAGTTCATATTTCTTTATATAAAGACAGATTCAGCCTATTTTGTCAATGCATTTCATTATTCTTTTATGTATTTCTAGATTGCACTTTGATTTGAGCTTTCTGTTTTCTTTCACATATCAGGTTTGGACTTCCAGATTCCAGACGCCATGGTGAAAGTATATGTCTGTCTCCATGTAACACGCTGGCAGCAGTAACAGATGATTTTGGCAGAATTATTTTGTTGGACGTAGCTAGAGGAATTGCAATACGCATGTGGAAAGGTACTTTCTTACAAAAATCCAGAAAAAAAAGTTAATTTGCTTTCTACCCCAGCAGTTGGACGGTGTTATCCTTCTTCAGCTTCTGGTTGATAACAGTGTTTAATTCTTTACGTTTATGCTTTTTGTTTGTTTGTTTAAACCATAAACTCAGATCAGCAACACTTGATCCAGTAGTCTAACTGATATATCCTTTAAGTTTGACCAACTCAGGCACTTTTAACCTCTTCCTTACATACCTCTTTTCAGTTCTCACTGTCATTGTCAATTCCTGAATTCAGTTTCTTGCCCCCTCGAATGCCAAGTCAAGTGTTTCAGATTTAAGATGGCAAAACCTAGCAAAATTCATTTTTTTCTCATTTGACTTCCATATCTACGTGCTTGGGTCAGTTCACTTAAGTGTCTCAGTAACTTTGTCAGTTAGAAGTTGCATTTAGTGGCAAACAATAGAGCCAAGTACAGGGTTGATATGGTGTCACTGTGATGTCCTCAGGAACTCAGTCTCCTTCCATGTAGCTTCCCCATGCAAAGTTACCTCATGGTTCAAATGGCTGCTGAAGGTGTAGCCTTTTTATCTGCATCCCAGGAAGGAAGAAGGGGAAAGGAAGACTGCCAGTTTAGTCCACTTTGAAGATACTTTCTGAAGTCTTGCCAAGCTTTTTCTACAATACATTAGCCAGGACTTAGTCACGTGGACAAACTTAACTATAAGGGAGACTTGAAAATATCTAGGCACATTGTCAACCTGAGTAAAATAAAATCTCCTTGACCAAGGAGGAGGGAAGAATGCATTGTCTGAAGTTATCTGGAATAGCAACATGTCAGCTCAGACTGCTGGTTAGAAATCACAATTTTGGTGCAATCTGGTCTGTTTTTAGCATTGTGAGGAATAATGGATTTGAGGGCATTAAATTACTGTGGACCAGACTGAGGCCACTATTAACCTTCTTGCCAGAGAATTCCTGCAGTGTTTACCTGCCACATGTTTAAGTGTCTTTAGAAATAGGTTTTAATGCTGCAGATACATCATTTCTCCCTGAAATGGTGTTTGTCTTCTGAAACAACATCAAGGGTATGTTCTCAGCAAGACTTTTCCAGAATATATACCAGCTGGTCCAAATCCCCTATGGCGATCTTATCGCTGCCATTGTTGCCTGTCCTTCTGCAGCTGGTGCAGTCTGTCGTTTTCCTCCCTGTACTGGAAAGAGAGGGATCAGTTGCCTGTGAGAGGGGCCGCCCTCAAGTGGAAGAGGTGTCAGCTGCATCTTTCTTCTCACAAGCCGGAGCTGTTTCCCATCGCTCTGCAGCCCATGTTTTCCCTCTGTCTGCACATTACCAAGGGACTTGAATAGCAGGGAACCAATTTGATCTTTTTCTTATATTTTAATTGTATTTTTAAGTCTGAACCTGATAACCTCCCCAGAATTTTTTAAAAAGAGGGAGGGAGGGGAATGAGATGAGGGAAGGGTGCTCACGAAGCCTCCGGGATAACTGTTTTTTTCTTAAAGAAAAAAAAGTGATCAGAAGCAAATATAGCAAAATCTGAAGTTTTAATAAGACTTGGTGATTTAGTATTATCATAATTATTATCTTCTTTTCTGTTTAATGTATTTCATAATAAAAAGATAATGTACTTTTTTTT